TGGTCTCCACCATTATCATTTGTAGCCATGAGCCCAACCCACATCCACTGGAAATGGAGAAGTAGCTGGACCAGTCCTTGGTACTGAACAGCTTCATTGGAGACCATGTGGTAAAAGGGATGCGGATCGTCCCGATCATGAATAGGTTTGAATGAGCCATAGGAAAGCTTGGAAAAAAGGAAAGAGGGGGGATGGCTGATATTTCAGGAAGAGAAGAGGAGTATCTGGCAGGCTCTTCACTCCTTAAAGGAGATCATTAATGAAAAGGATCATCTGCAATAAGCCCCAACATGCTAATGTAATCATAATTGAAATTATGTCATCATAATTAAAATAATTCATTTAAATAATTCATTTGAAATTTGACATTGCATTCACATCTTCAGATATACATGTGGTTCTCACATTTGAATTCCTCACTTTCTTACCATTCCTGCATCATTCTGATCATCGAATTGCTCCTGGAAATAGATGAATAAATGGGATAATTTCTGTGTAACGCCATTAGTGCCATGTTATATTTTACTTCTCTATTCAAACCCTATGAAGTATTTTAGTGACTGCCCCATAGCCATCTCCTAGTGGAGACAAGAAGGTGAATCTCCTAAGTCCCAGTCCAGCTTTCTGTACCTTTTGCCACGCAGGCTCATGTGCAGATCCAACCTGTGGTATCTTATAAAGACCTAAGATGTCTGCCATGCATGAGGAGGTTTCAAAGCTCAATGCACCAATAACTCTGATAATATTTTTTTCAATGCCGCACTGGTAGTTGGGCACAAACTGATGTGAGTTGAAAAGCAAACCTAAAATGGTACGATAGGCCATCCTTGGGTCAGTATAGCTTTCCTGGAAGTGGAAGCCGAGAGTGATGTTGGGCAAGATACTGGGATCTTCATTAATATTGTCAATGGCAAATATGAAAGCCAGAATGTGTTGGTAGAACTTTGTCATCACCCTGCAAAGAAAACACGACATGCAGTTGCACAGAAAAGGTAAAGGGTGCAACAAATCTTTTCATCATACTTCTGGTCCACTTTTGCTAGCACTGAAAGATTCAGCAACCTGTGCATAAGTGGAGAGTAAAGCCAGGAAAGTCAAGTCAAAATAAATCCTGTTGGAATGAGGAACTGCATGGTTTCTTTTTGATAGATGCTTCCTTTACATATGTGCACATTAATGCACTCTCAGGAAAAGAGGCGGCATTTCTGTTTGTTGTTGCTGTTGTATTTTTAAATTGAAAATCCAGTTTTTTCCAAAACATATCCATATATGCAAACACTTATTTAAACATAAAGAGCCACTCAATATACCTTAAGAGAATTTCATGCTAGCCTTGGATGGGAAATGTCTTACCATGGGATGCTAATCTTCTCCTGAGAAGGGTGTCTGATGAACCCAATGCTGCAGGGAAAGTAATGTATAAAAGATGCCATCCCACCAATGAAGAAATCTCCTGGCTCGTACCTGTAGTGTGGAATATATACTGGCTCATTTCCAGAGGACTTCACAGTATAAACTTTCCAAGGCACAATTGGAAACAGTAGCAGCTGAAAAAGCAGGATCATTGTTTTGGTAAACGATCCCCACAAGCTGAGGCCTCTTTGTCTTGCTCTACATCCACAACTTGATTATACTCAGAGCGACTTGAAGAAGGTGGGGTGGGGAGATTTCTGGTTGTGAAAACAGCCAAGAGGAAGCTGTTGCTAACTACAAATATGTATCAACATCCTACTCTATATGCAAATTGAGAATTCTCATTTAAACTAGAAGTGCCTAGTGATAACAGGAGAGTGACCAAAATGGCAAAGCGTTGCCTCTGTTTTCTCCTAAAACTCAGTACTGCATTGCCCTATGAGACATACATAAATATTGCAGGTTCCTTGATGTCACTGCCTCTCTGGTAAACTGCTTTAGAAGTTGATTGATTAATAGCAATTTTATAATTTGAATGACTGATTATATATATTAATTATATGAGAGTGAAATACAGCAAAGTTTTTAGACTCCATGATCCAGATTCCATAACTTTTCCACTGAAACAAAGTGTACTTGGAGAGTTGGTGTGGTGTAGTGGTAAAGAGTGCAGGACTGAGACTCAGGTGATCTGGGATCAAGGCCCCCCTCCATCATGGAGATAACTGGCTGATTTGGGCCAGTCACAGACTCCCAGTAAAACCTAATGCACGGGACTTTTGCTCAGGTGTGCATAATATTGAAAGGAAGAGGAGAATTATGAAGAATGTTTTGAGTTCCTTGAAAGGGAAAAAGGAGGACTATGAATACAAGTAATTTAATTAATTAATTATAAAAAATTCTAAGTAACTGCTATGTATTTCTAAGTCATATTTTTTCTAGAAAAGTAAGATTAGATTAGGTTTACTTACTTCACTGATCACAGTTATTAACATCAAGGCTGGTGATTTTTACTGTCTGACACACTATACAGCAAGGGTGCACATTTGAACTTACATTGGACCAAGAAAGGAACAAGTATTAGTGATTGGGTGAGCTCAACCAGACTGCTAAAGCTTGTTTTTCTTACAAATGCTAACAGATTCCCTTCAAGAAACTAGTTCCTCAAATCATCCATTCCAAATGTGGCATTTATTCCCTAGACTAGGAAAACAGGTGAAAAATATGCAGTACATTTCTCTACGCAAGTATGATGCACACCAAAAAGAAAATAATACATTCACTCCAAGTAGAATTGCAGAAATAAAGAATTGTGACTTACACACTATCTAGGAGGAATATCTAGAGTGAGAAAGGCATATAAGTGCAATCCCATAAAATTGCATGATATAATTTATATCTTCTTTCAGAAGATACAGAAAAGTTTGAGCAACAATGGACCACTGAACTATCTACATGGTTTCCGCATTATCTGCTCTCTGTTGTTGAGTTCTGGTCTAAACACAATAATGTAGCATTTTGGGAAAAATATGCAGCACAATAAACCAGCACTGGAAGCCAAGATGGAGAAGATCTCCACAGCCACCATGTACTTTCCTCTTGTGCTCAGGTACGTTGGGACAAAGGGCACCCACACACTGCAGAAGACCAACATGCTGAAAGTGATAAACTTGGCTTCATTAAAACTGTCTGGCAGCTTCCTGGCCAGGAAGGCCACTGCAAAGCTGCCTGAAGACAGAAGACCCAGGTAGCCCAATACACCAGAGAACAGGAAGACTGAGCCTTCATTACAGAGCAGGAAAATTTCTTCAATCATGGAGTGCATGTCCACATCTGGGAAAGGAGGAGAGGTTGTCAGCCACAGAACACAAATGCCTGCCTGAATGTTGGAGCAGCAGAGCACAATGGAATGTGACAGTCTTCTCCCCACCCACTTCCTCATCCGGGATCCTGGCTTGGTAGCCATGAACGCCAGCACCACCGAAACCGTTTTTGCCAAGATTGTGGAGAGAGACACAGAGAAGACCATGCCAAAAGCAGTTTGTCGAAGAAGGCAGGACACAGTATTGGGCCTTCCAATGAAGAGGAGGGAGCAGAAGAAACACAGGAGAAGGGAGATGAGGAGAATGTAGGTGAGGCTTCGGTTGTTTGCCTTGACAATGGCAGTATCTCTGTGCCAGATGAAGAGTCCTAGCACCAGCGCTGTGAGCAGAGATAATGAAAGAACAGAACAAGTTGAAATAATGGCCAAGGTGTCTTCAAAATCCAAGAAGTTTGGAATTTTTGGAATGCATTGAGTCTGGAATTGGTTTGGATATTGATGCCCTGGGCAATTGACACAGGTTTCCATATCTGAAAAACAAACATAGATTAGTTGATGAAGAAGTATTCCTCAAAGAACTCATATTTATCAAATACATTTGTAGAATGTGAAGTACCCAGGTTCTTCTGGGATGGAAGATCATGAACATGCTGTAAAAGCATTCCAAAAATGCAAAAATGTTGGTATATTTGCATAAGGGATGTTTGTTTATTTTTGGCATCTCCTTTCAGTACAATTCCATGACAGGGGGAAGACCACTATCATATTTTGCAAACTATTGGAGGCTGACATTGGTTATTTTGATGAATCTTTTCAGCTTCTCCACAATCAAATGTATCCTTCCTGCTTCCACTCATGAGGCGTTGACGTTGGTGGTTTATCTCAGTATTCTCTTTTTCTTCTTATAGCTGCTTTCTCTTTTGCTTTGCATGCAAAGGAAGGAAAGACTCATTTACAGTTTCTTATCTATTGACGTTTTGCATTCTTTACCTTTATATATGTGCACTGGATCCATGTAAGCAAGAAAGCAGGGTCTGGATTGGTCTTGGCAGGACAACCTTTCAATGAGTTTCTTCCATTTTGCTGAAACACACTTTGCTTTTGATCTATGCCCTACCTTTCTGGTTTGAAAACATCCCATCTGGACATGGGGCACAATCATAACAGCAAAATGGCTTCCCCTCCTGCTTTTTCTTGCTGGAACCAGGAAGGCAGTTCTCACTACACCGAGAAGGAGGAGGCACCTGTCCAAAAATATTGGAGGCAAGTCATGTGTAGGAGAAATTTGAGAATGTCATTGCATATCAAGGACTTTGTCAGTGACCAGGAAGTCCCACTATACAGAATACTCAATTTCTCACTGCAAATGAAGCAGGTTGAGCATCCAAAGCATTTCATGAAATCTAGAAGATGAGAATTTCTATTCTTGGCCTTATCAGTCACACAACTAGCTCAGCATTTCCTCTATCACTCTCAAATCTTCTTGTACCAGCTTTCCAAAGAATGTATTGATAGGAAACAATAGCATTCCTGTCAGTCACCGGTCCTCTGTGAATTTGGACAGAGCTTTCCACAGCTTCACCATCCAGCCACCTACCTTTTTAGGGGATAATCTGATTGGGAACATTGTAAGCTTCTGAATTCAAGGGATTCTGGGATGGAGCCTAGAGAGGACACAGATCCTTCATTCCCAATGGCAACTCATGGTCGACTTTTCTGTGGTTGGGACAAGCTATGCGATTGAAGAGAGGAAAACCAGGAGTTTCCTGGAGAGAAAGCCAAACATAGGAAGTTTGTAACTCAGCCTTCTCTCTTGGAGACCCTAGGACTGTGCCATTCAGCTTTCCCACATACCTCCATCTTTTGATGTTGATTGCGGTAACCATGTACATGTACAAGTGATCTTAACTCAATGACTGCAGTGTGCATTGAGCTGCACAAACTTAATGGACTGGAGAAGTTCAGTAAAAGACCGCCAAAGCACAAGTCCTTCCTTTGTTTCTTGCTCTGAGGTTGCAATGGCGTAATTTTACAAATGGCTGATTGACTGAGCACCAGTCCTTCTTGCACCTCTGCCATCTCCTCTCCCACAAAAGCATTGCACCATCGCTTTATCCACTTTCCAACCATGCACAGGGCACCTGTACTGTTCTTTCTGTGCTGACTGTGATTGGAGAGGATGTCAGAACCTACATTCCTAGGCATAATGTAGAACCTTTGACTTAGGCCTTGGATCTAGGAATTTTTTGTCCACAAAATTAAACATTGGCACTGTATTTACCTTAACTGTATTTTTTTTTTCATTTTCCAGTGAATATCAGCTTAGGAATGAATTGTACAAGAAACAGCTGTTTCCCCACCTGCTTCAATTTTCTGTTCCATTCAATTTTGTCCTGATCCATGGTGAATCTTTTCTCTGAAGAAACTTGATGTTCTATCCTTCCCACTTTGACTCTGTTATAGGACCGATTAGGGAAAGTGACCAAGTTTGTAATGTCAAATCCTCCTTCTAATTCTCCATGTTGGTTAAACGTAATTTCCTCTCCTGCACTGTTGTTGAATGAAGTCTTCTGAATGAATGAATGCAACTAAACAAGAGAGAAAAAAGGCAAATAGTATATTAAGAGTGGTAATACTCTCATTAACATTAAATAGCTTTCTGTGTAAGAGGAGTATTTGCTGTTAGGAACAGGTAGGTGAATAACTGAAGCCAGATTATGCTTCACCTAAAATCCCATATTCAAAAGGATTACTCCAGAACCTCCAAGAGTATCTTCAAAAAACAAGCATGTCTACACACATTTGCTCAATCCAGTTTTTGTCATACTTCACACACAATTCTATACATGTTTTGAAAGAAAACTGCCTGCAACTCAGCACATTCTCCAGCCAAATTTGCTACTTTGTGGTATGCTGGGAGTTTTTAAAGTATTGAAACAAGTAGTTGAGAATTCAGTTTTGAATTCACTTGATCTAGTCTAAATCTGACTGATTTTGGATGAACAATGTAAAAGTTCTGGCTGTGGGGGCAGGGGTGAACAAATGACTTTTTTTGGTAGAAAATTCCTGAATGGTGGGGAAAATGAAAAGAAAGGGGTGGCACCTTTTTATTATTACATATCTAAAATAAGTTCAATTACAATTCCATGTTCTCCAAATGGCTTTCTCGTCTGAATAAGGAGTCCTGCAGGCATGCAAGGCATGGTGCAAGGCCAAGTGCTGGTGCTTTTCACCACTGCCCACATCCTCTCTTGCTGGAAGGCTGTGGAATGAATGATCAGATTGAAAATCTAGTGAGATTATATTTACCTGGGAATTGCTCTACTGCTTATTAGGAATGGAGAGTAACTGATTGTTTTGGTTCTGAAGTGTTTTCTGAATGAGTGCATACATGTGGGGAATAATAATGTCCTGGATACCGGTGTGTGTGGGGGTGGGGGTGTATGAAGGAGGTGTGCACTTGAGAACCCCAAAGAAGGAAAGTGTAATACTTCCAAATAGCTTTCATATAGCTTGCAGTGCTGATCCTGCCTAATCTTGGAAGCTAAGCAGGGTTGGGCCTTGTTGAAATCTAGATGTGGTCAGCCACTCAGAGAGCTATGGCAATGGCTACTATAGAAATGTAAGATGATGATGATGATGATGATGATAGCAGCAACAGCAACTTCACTCCCAGCGGCAGGTTCAGGAGTAAACATTCAATTGCTAATCAGAGTATATGTTGAGAAAGCAGTGCACTGGCCCCTTGGCTTTCTTGTTGCTTTTCCATAGCTGAATGGTGGAGGGGTAGATTACTGGCAGAAAACATTGCTTGAGAGGGATGTTTACACACACACAACCCATCACCACATAGGGAGTCCAGTAAAGATAAATCAAGGAGAGGTAAGCCCCTCCACCCCAGTATTAACTGCAGGACTTCCACGACATAGTCTTGCTTTTAGGGTCCAAGGGAAGTAGTTGTAGGGAACCCTGCACTTGCTTTGTTCCATTGGGAAGTAGTTCTAAATTATCATCATCTACTCTTGTCATGGAAATTAAAACAAGGTCATGTAAATAGATTTTCATCACCATTTTGACAGCTAAAGACCAGGGATGCCACAATGCCTGGATAAATGCCCACCAGAAGTAACTCAAAGGAGAGGAATTTTAATTTTTTAACAGGTGGTTTTTAGGCACAATTTAAGAAATGTATGACTATGTAGGCTTGGGATGCCTTTCTGCTGTCAGATCATCTCTGAGGTAGGATGACCTTATGAATGAAAGACCAGCATAATGTCCCATCCACACCATCCCTGCTTAGCTGTTCTAAATTCAAGGCTGCAACTTCCCTAAAAAAGTCCATCCAGCTTTGTTCTGGGTTTCCTTTGGTCTTCCTGTTCTTCTGCCTATGGCATTTCCTGGCATGATTGCCTTCTCCATTGGGTATAAAGCTGAAAATCCACCTCATACTTGGTCTCCATCATATGTACATACTTATTTCCAATAATGATACTATAATAATGATAGCATGTTCTGTATGCTGTAAACTGAATTGACTGCTATGGATAGTCCCCCCCCCCCCCAAAGACTGCTGAAAATCAGTAATCATAAAAAATGTTTCCTTTTTCCATTTGCTTCATTTTTAAAGTATGGTTTTGTTGTTCATGCATTGTCTGATAAATAATAAATTATTAAAAATTCACAGCATTTTCTAATCCCTACGTGATGACCATTGACCTTTGACAGTCACCGAAATTACCTGCCAGGACTGTACACCCTGAAGAGATGCTCTGTCTTCACTTACTATTCCTCTGTGGTTGGGTGTAGCTGAGGACAAGCTGTGTAAAGCATGAGCAATAGTGTAGACCGCATTGTAGACACTGTAGCTGTGGCCACTCATGCTCAATTCAAAAATGGATCGAGGAAGGGTCTCCAAACTCTCATTTCCTCTACATCTTCCACCACGGAAACTCAGAAGAGAACTTGAAGTTAAACAAAGAAATGCATATTCCCAAAAAAGATCAATAAAGCCATCTTCATTGTCCCAAGAAGGTTTGACAAGCTCTAGAAACTCTTGAAAGCCTTCAGGTTCCTTGGAAGGAATGGTAAAGGAGAGGGCACCATGAAGCATTTGTATGTCAAATCCACTAAGTGTTCCCAAACCACTTACAAAGAAATCAATTTGTGCTGTTGTGATCCATACTTTTGCTGAGGAGAGCCTCCTCTTATACTGAGGAAATACTTGCTGAGCTAAAGAACTTGCATAAAGAAGACATCCCAGCCATGTAATGGCTGAAGCTCCTCCATGGATTACCATGGCATTGGCTTTGCTTCCCAGTATGTATTCCACATGATTCCATACTATATGGACCATTTCGTTTAAGTCGTCTTTTATGTACCAAGTTACTGCCACCCTTCTTGTGAATTCTGAGCAGATCCAGTTCTGCACAAGTAGGGGCTCCATGTTTCTCAAGAACTGGTCTCCACCACCATCATCTGTAGCCATGAGCCCCACCCACGTCCACTGGAAATGGAGAAGTAACTGGACAAGTCCTTGGTATTGCAGGGCTTCATTGGGGACCATGCGGTAAAAAGAATGCAGATTGTGCTGATCATTCATGGGTATGAAGGAGCCATATGAAAGCTTGGTAATAAAGAAAGGACATGCAGGAAGAATGAGATTTCAGAACAGGAATGGAACTAAATGACAGTCTCTTCATACTTTAGAATCCTACTTCTAAAGTAGGATACTTTAGAATCCTACTTCTAAAATAGGATTCTCTAAATAATAGGTGCAACTACCCTAACCAGGATTTAAACTGGTATTCAGATATATTAGTATATATATATATGTCATACATGATGTATGGCAAATTGTTCATTGTAGCTAAAACAAAACTAATCAAACTCCGATGAGAAGCCATTCAAGAAGTGCTATAAATGGTCACTATAGCCCTTTTAACTCCTTACATAAACTTCTGGATATCTTATTCAGGCTCATTTAAGAGTTAAGGTCTGAGATTTGTTGAAGGGACATCCCAAAGAAGAGGCTCCAATTTATAAATGTTCCAAATGAAAAATCTCCTCTAAATGTATTAAACACCCAGAGTTTAATCACGATAGAATCAGAGAAGGTCCGTAGCAGATAAAAGAACCACTTCAGGTATGACAAAATCTGGATGCAATCCACAGTGTTGGTCAAGTTTGTAATTTAGATGATCACATGCAAATCTAGGTATTTTGATAAACATGTGACACTCAAACTGGAATTCTTCACTTTCAGCTCCCTTTCTCTCTCCGGCACATCGTTTTGACAGATCATCAAATTGCTTCTGGAAAGGGAGCAATGAATTGGAGAACTTTCAGCAAATTTATTTATTTATTTATTATATCTTATGAAATCTGTTAGTGCCTGTCCCAAAGTCATCCAGTTGCCTAGGAGGGATCTCCTTAGTCTCAGTCCAACCATCTAAGCATTCTGGCACACTGCCTCTGAGCGGATCCTACCTGTGGAATCTTGTAAGGACCCAGAATGTCTGCCATGCATGAGGAGGTTTCAAAGCTCAGTGCACCAATGACGCCTACAACATTTTTTTCAGCGCCACACTGGTAGTTGGGCACGAACTGCTGTGAGTTGAAAAGCAAATCTAAAGTGGTGCGATAGGTCATCCTTGGATCACTGTAGCTTTCCTGGATGTGGAAGCCAAGAGTGATGTTGGGCAAGATTGCGGGATCTTCATTGATCTCATCAATGGCAAATACAAAAGCCAGAATGTGTTGGTAGAACTTTGTCATCACCCTGCAAAGAAAGCATGCAATTTCATGGAAAAGGAAGAGTGCAAATCAATAAATAAATAAATCTGGTCCACTTTCGCTGGCACTGAAAGATTCAGCAGCCTGTCAATAGGTAGAAAGTACAGAAAGCTAAGTTAAAAGCACATCAAGCCCTTTTGGAATGAACTGCATGCTAAATTTTTGCTGGATTGCCTCTTTACATTTGTGCCCCTCCTAAAAGCGGGCAGAGTTGGACATGTGTGCACTGGACTGTCCAAAAACTGGGCAGAGCTTCTGACACCACAACACCTTTTAGCGTTTCTATATATTGAAGATGCACTATTTTCCAAGAGCAATCCCTATATGCGGACAGTTATTGAAAAACAAAGAGCCACTTAACATAGTATGGGACATTTTCAGGTAGGTTATGGATGGAAAATGCCTTACCCTGGAATGTTGATCTTCTCCTGAGAAGGGTTTCTGATGTATCTGATGCTGTGGGGAAAGTCATGTAGATAAGATGCCATCCCACCAATGAAGAGATCTCGTGACTCATACCAGTCATATGGAATAAATACAGGCTCACTTCTGGGGCACTTCAGAGTATGTGCTCTCCACACCCCACTAGGCAGCAGCAGCAGCAGCAGCAAAAGCAGGACCATCACAATGGCAAATTCTCCCACACACAGGAAGCACCTTCTGCTTCTCCCTACACCAACATTATTACCGCAGTCAGTGCCATTTGAACTGAGTTTGTTGCAGCTACATGAGGCAGAAGAAGATGGTGAAGAGGTATGCAGCCACTGTATCACTGACCTCGATACTGGAAGGAAATTATTCCTTGCATGCCAATTGAGAATCATCACTTGAAGCTACAGGTGCTCAGTGAAAATGGGAGGGTGATCAAAACAACAAAGCTCTGTCTCTATCTTCTGTTATATCTCAGCTCCCCATGCTCCAGGAGGAGAATGAAAATGCTTATTTTTACTGCTGGTTCTACTGTTTGGGAAATTGCATGAACTACAGCCATTTTGATAATTACATGGGTGATAAATTGTTGAGCAATTTTAGTCTCCGTGATGCAACTTGAGTAGCAGATGGCCTGAAACCAAACGTGTTTATCTCATTCCTCTCCTTCCTTCTGTGGTTCCTGCAATGCCAAGCAAAGTAAGTAGGTAGATTAGTGACCTTGGATGAAGCCTTGAAACTTACCTTGTACCAGGTGCTTTACCATCAGTTCCAGTTGAAATAAGCAGGTACATTGAGGATGATGCCTGGTAACTCCTAGTAATGAATTGATGAGGAATTAAGAATGCTTGGAATAGAAATGGCATCTAAGTATGCAAGCAAAATATATAGACCTTTCCCAACAGATTGCTGTGTTAGGACACAAATAATTTTAAAAGGACAAGAACAAAAGATGAATAACATTATCTGGCCTATCTAGAATTGATGAAGCCTTCTTTGTTACCCCTTATTCTGTTTTACTCGATTTTGGGAACTGGAATGAGCCAGAGTAGGAAAAAAGAAAGGAAATCATATGGAGCATATTGAAATCAGAACATCCATCTTTATTAGGTCAACAAATGATGGGTAAACATGCGCAAATTGTGGAGAACTGCATATCTCTTCATCTGCAATGATGTTGAACTAGGGGGGCCTGGGAAGGGGAGTGTAGAAGATGTCACAGTGCTCGAGCAGGTACATACCGGGAGAAGCTCCACAGTACAGCGTGTTCCTGGGCCTTGCACAGCTGTGTGGCTTAAAACCAGCATATAGAATTAAGCTGGGAATAAATCAGTCTGCCAGTACAAGTGGGCCAGAATTGCTGCTACACCTTCTATGTTCTTATTCTCACTATCCATCTCGTAACCCAAGTTAACCCAAGCTGCAGCTTCCACACAATCCTGGGAGCCATTCACATGTAGTATGCTTCTCTACTGAATGTTGTCAAAACAGCGAATCTAGATTATCCTTTTTGGTTTGGGGTATCAACCATTGTACGAGGCACTTATTGCTTCGGAAGCCTCCAGTGGTGATGATGATTCCAGGAAAATCCTGGTGAAGCATGACTCGGTCACAGCATCTAACCAGCCTACCAGATAGATGAATCCAAAACATACAATAGGCTGCAACCATTGTGTCATCCATCCTTGATTGTGTCCAGGTGAAAGGATAAGGTGTACCTTCTGAAATGCTAAATGGTGGAGATAGGAAAAGGTGGAGTGAAGCAACCAGCTTCTGCACTTGACCATCATAGTAGGAATGGAACCAAAGCAGTCCAATGTCATCCAGGCCCAACACAGAAAATGGTCTCATAAAGACAACAAACAGCAATATGGAAAGCTAACATGGCAGCAAGAAGAATCAAGAATCAGGATCTCCCACATCCCATCTCCTTACCTATCTCATTATAGAAGAATAAACCTTGCTGTTTCACTGAGAAAATGTGGCCTGAACATTGAGGCAAATATTTCAAGGAATTCTGTCTTAGGAACTTAGACTTAGGAAACTTAGCAACTTAGAACTTAAGAAAGAATATTTGGCACTGGTTCAAAGTTGAAATAGTTCAGGTTTCGGAAGAATTTATTTTGGTTTTAGGTTTTTTTTTTTTTTTTTTTTTTTCTTTGCCAGGGTATCTCTGCTGCCTCCTTCAGAAAGATAGGGTCCATCCCCCTGGTCAAAAGCTTCAAAGCTTCAAGAGACACAATGATCCAATAGGAAAATTTTGGACACTTTTGTTGAAGCATGGACTTGCATGTTTAGCAGAACTTGTTTGACCACCAAGTGACTGCAGAATACAACTGAACAGAAGAAAATCCTTGCAAAGTTAAAGGAATATGGAAGTGATGTAACAAATCTGATGGCAAGAGAAATACATTGTGTTTGTGATACTGAGTGCATGTGTGTGCTTGATTCTATCTTAGAAGTGCCTCTCAAGCAGCTTGCAGATGGCCTATAGCATTCCTCAGTACCAGTAAGTTACAAGCCTCAGTTAACCTGGGACTGGTAATATGGACTGCATGGGATAGGGTTAATCAAGCCAGAAAGATAATGGCTGGCGTTTAACATCATGAGAACCCACTGTAGATGGCAAGGCATGCTGTGGTGCTGTGTCAGGTGTACTGTGAATGATCTCACAGGATGGTGTGTTTGTGAGCAGCCACCTATTACAAGTCCTTGTGGCTTCTTCTAGTGAGTGTTGAAGCAGAATGGGGTGCTGTGTTTTTCTGGGTCATTGCTTGGGCCTGGGTTTATTCAGACACAGGAAGGTTTGGCAGGAATGCCAGGTACAAAAGTGAACTTGAAACTTCAGTGCAGTTACTGAAATAAAAGTTCAAATTTATGGGTCAGCTCCACCTTACTAACAGAAGGATTGGATTTGATATGCTAGGATCAGGTATAAAATCCAGTTAGACTGCTTTATTCAAAAGTATGTGCAGTATACCAAGAAAATGGTTGATATGAAGAGATACTCTAATTCTTCCTTCTCATCAACTGCTCTCTGTTGTTCAGGTCTGGTCTAAACACAATAATGTAGCATTTGGGGGAAAATATGCAGCAAAGTAAGCCCGCACTGGAGGCCAAGATGGAAAAGATCTCTACAGCCACCACGTACTTTCCTCTGGTGCTGAGGTATGTTGGGACAAAGGACACCCACACACTGCAGAAGACCAGCATGCTGAAGGTGATGAACTTGGCCTCATTGAAGCTGTCAGGCAGCTTCCTGGCCAGGAAGGCTACAGCAAAGCTGACTGAAGCCAGCAGGCCCAGGTAGCCCAAGACACAAGCGAACATGAAGACAGAGCCTTCATTACAGAGCAGGACAAGTTCTTCAGTCATGGACTGCATGTCCACATCTGGGAATGGAGGAGACATTGTCAGCCACAGAACACAGATGCCCGCCTGAAGATTAGAGCAGCAGAGCACAATGGAATGTGACAGTCTTCTCCCCACCCACTTCCTCATCCGGGATCCTGGCTTGGTAGCCATGAATGCCAGCACCACAGAAACTGTTTTTGCCAAGATGGTGGAGAGAGACACAGAGAAGACCATGCCAAAAGCAGTTTGTCGCAGTAGGCAGGACACAGTATTGGGCATTCCCATGAAGATGAAGGAGCAGAGGAAACACAAGAGCAGGGAGATGAGGAGAATGTAGGTGAGGCTTCGGTTGTTTGCCTTGACGATGGCAGTGTCCCTGTGCCAGATGAAGAGGCCTAGCACCAGAGCTGTGATGAAAGACAATGAAAGAACAGAACATGTGGAAATGATGGCCAAGGTGTCCTCAAAAGCTAAGAAGTTTGGCATCTTAGTAATGCATTGATTCTGGAATTGGTTTGCATATTGATGCCCTGGGCAATAAACACAGGTGTCCATATCTGAAAAGCAAGCATATAAGAATTGATGAAGAACCACTCTCCACACACCTCAGATTTCAGAACTGCCTCTCCAGAGGTCCGCATAGCCTAGTTCTGTTAACATGGTATAGTTTCAATATGCCAAACATGATATCCCTGAAATACCAATTTTGGTATGTTTGCAGAAGTGATGTTGCTTATCTTTCACATTTTCCTTACACATATTGCTACAAAGTGTGGCAATCACTCCAGGACACGATGCAAGAACTTGTGGGCCAGCATGAGTCACTCTGATGAATCTTTTCAACTTCTCCACAATCAAAGCTGCTTGCTTATAGCATCATCCTCTTTTGTTTACCCTGCTGAAGAAGGAAAGATTCATTTTGACTTTCTTCTATTTGGGACTTTTCTGTATTTTGCTTCAAGAAAGGTAACAAATGTCGCAACAAAGCAGGGTCTGGATAGGTCTCCAAAAAGTTTGCACCTTATTACTGAAACACACTTTTCGTTTGATTTATGCCCTACCTTTCTGGTTTGAAAACATTCCATCTGGACATGTAGCACAGGCATAGCAGCAAAATGGCTTCCCTTCCTGCTTTTTCTTGCTGTTTCCAGGAAGGCATTTTTCATTACATGAAGAAACAGGAGGCACCTGTTTGAAAACATTGGAGGTAAATAATGTGAAGGAGATTTTTGAGGAAGTCATTGCACCAGGTATGCTCATGATATGGAACACTTTCTTTCTCATTGCCGAAGGAGC